TTTCTAGTCCATTTCCAATAGCAAAACTAGAAAAACTACATTTAGGGCCTCGTACTCGTCGAGTGCAAGAACCTACTCGCCGAGTAGGATGAATTATCACATGGACTCGTCGAGTCTCCCCATGGACTCGGCGAGTTTACCTTGCAGAAAGCAATTTTATCAATTTTTTCAACAAGTTTCCATCAAGTATCATGAAAACAAGCCTAGGCTCTGATACCACTGATGGGTTTTGAGCATTCTAACACTCCTAAGATGTACATGCAACCCTAGAAACCTTGGATCTATTTTTTACTAAGATACATACAAAATTTCTTTTCCACGGTTCTTAACCTAACTAGCATGGCATGGGGAACTTTGAAACATAAAAAGCTAGTAGAGTTACATACCTTTTGGTAGTGGTTGATTGTTTGGAGTTTGAGAGCCTAGCACCAATAATGTGGATGCCTCAAATGGAAGTCACAAATCACCACAAACCTTGGAAAGTTGAGATAGTAGTAGAACACTTCTAGAAATCGGCCACCTTTAGTTCTCACACAAAACTAGTGTAATTTCAAGTGCTAAGGACTCCTTTATATAGTGTTGTGGATTAGGGTGAGATCTATGCAAACCCTAATACCCATGACCTTTCATTTCCATGATATCCATGGGTTAAACCTCCATGGACTTATCATGCAAGCCTAGCCCATTCTAAATAAGCATTAGCCCACACTATATAAATACAAGAGTCCATATTTAATTAGTCACCCTTTTGATCACTAAGTTAATTCTAAATTAATTTTAGATCAAGACTAATTAAATAATATGATTCCATATTAATATATTAGAACTTACAATATATTAATAAATCATAACATATACTATTCTCAAAGATTATTCATATAAATTGTTCGGGTGAAGTGCAACCTAAATGGACCATGTCGGGTCGGGTCAAGTCATCTCAAATATAGTTATGGACTTAGACACCTTATCCAAAAATTACCTAGGATGAAGAGATAACATATGGAGCCATTATACAAGCCCTGTTTCGTTGATGATTCTAGGACGTAATCATCATAAGGGGAGATAATTGTAACGCCCACAGATTCGGACTAGTCAATTTAAAGACAATAAGCGTCAAAAATGACTTTTTGATAGAAGATTATTTAGAATCAATAATATTAACCATGTTATATTATATGTCACATGGGTTCCGTACATATAAAGAACGCCGGAATCCGAGTTATAATGAAGAAGTTATGTTTCGTTGAGGTTTTATGCCTAAACCGGCACGGCACCGCATAATGTAAAAAGTGAATTTTTCATAAATTACTTTTTAGCCTTAGGGATATAAATGAAAGTCGTAGTATATGTTAAACCAAGAGCGTGTGTCACACCCCAAAACCGAGAACGGTGAAATACGTTTTGGGGTGGAGGACGTCATTTACAGTATCATAACAATTATATAATAGTAAAAACAAGGAACAACATCCATTGCATTAGTATAGTAATTGTAAATACAAATGTGTTCTGTACAGTTTGATAGACACCAAAAATGTAAACAAAATAAAAGATGGGTCTTGAATACGCTCCATTTTCTCAAAAGCTGCACCAGTGCCTGTCTATTTTTGATCTGAGAATACAAGTTATTTTGAAAACGAGTATCAACATAAAGCTGGTGAGTTCATAAGATTTTAGTGTCATTACTTGTATAAAAGTGTTTACAATTATGAAATATAAAAACTGAAATTAATATTTGAGAATAGTAGAAGTCCCTAGAAAATCCTATATTTTCCATAATCGAGCATTTGTAAGTTAAATCCTTCGAGTGTGTAAAAGTATTTTCATTGAAACTTTCAGTTAGAAAAATAAGGTAATAAATTTCATTCCAGTAACGTAAATGAGGAAAAGTATTGTCGGCTGGCTGTAGTAGTGTTGCAAACTTCAATATATTTATTTTACTTCGGCAAGTTAATGTGGACTTTAATTCTTAGTCTGCTAATTTGGATATGGAGTTAATCTTTCATGTAACCAAACTGAGTGATAATAGAGAGCCCGATGACCTTCCCGGTCATAAGTAGTGTAGCGATGTTTTGTCATCCCTGGGCCTGGTTGGCCCGGACTGTAGTTAACAGTTGGGATGTAATAGCGTCTGCCCTGTATAGATCTATACATGTAGTGTTGCTTTCCTTCCGGGAAGCTCTGGTTACATGGTATTTGCGCAGTAGAGTGCCGTATAGAGGGATAGTATGTCATGTTATGGATTAGTGTATTCTCTTGTATTATAGTATAGTAACTTTTAGTATAGTATAGAGAGTGTTCTCTTTAACGTGCCTTAACTCGTAATAGTAGTATTTATAGTGAGTATCATTGTGATAGAGGTAACGAGCAATAGTCTTAACTATACCTATGATAGTTAATTAAAGTGTGGGATTGCATGCCTTTGATTTACAAAGGTATTAAATAAGATGAAGACTTACATATCTAACACAAATATATATGATATATAACTAAGAAATCAACGACAGTCGGACGGATAACAATATACCCTAAGACCACAATCAAACAAGAACAGGAAATAAGGCAAGCTATCAGTCCTAAGTCCTTCAAGTCTTACTTATACAAATATATTGGTGTAGATATAGTTTAAAAGAAAAGTAGTTTAAACACAGTTTGAAAATAGTTTAACAACAATTTAACCTAGAAAAATGCGTTTGGTAATTATTTAAAACATTTTTATTGACAAATAGTTAAAAGTATAGAAAATCCTTTTTGGTTGTAAGTTATGAATCACATATGATTTGATTCTAAAAATTGTTTCATTTACTTGTATCCCCCCCCCCTAAAACATGTAAAAACATTTGAAAAGCTTAATTAAGGGGTATGAACTCACCTGCAGTGAGTTGAGCGGATGAAATTGTCGGGTAGAATGCTAGGTGCCAAATGAGAATATGAACACTCACACGGATCCTATGAAACATGTAGTGACACATAATGGTGTCTAATTAGTTATATAATCACTAAATAAGTAAGTAATTTCACCCTAATGCATGAAAACACTTTGTTTTAAGTGCTAGGAGTGCCAAAGGTTGCATCTAAGGAGCATATGATCTCACTATGTAGTTTACTCCTCAAATACCCACCTTAGGTGAGTTTGCGGTTGAGGGACCAATTCGCCCATGAGTTTATGGCCGTAAACTCATGGGACGAGTGTATTTGTGTGCCTTAAGGTTTCTTGTATCACTAGGAAGGGTTCTAAGGTCAATTCCAAGGCTTGAGGGGTGTTTAGGGTTCAAAAGGGGCACTCTCTTGGAGTTTGCGGTCCTTGGACCACTCCTTGGGAGTTTACGGTTGTAAACACTAGGGTTTACGGCCGTAAACCCTTTGGCACACTATTCCCTTTGTGTTTCGTGATCCTAAGCTCAATCATACAAGTTTCTAGTCTAATTAACATGCTAAGGAAGGAGTTAGGGACACCAAAACACCATTTATGGTGTTTACGGTTTTGGTGTTTACGGTTCATGAATATTCATGGACCGTAAACTCATGTTTACACTCCTAAAAACAAGCTTTGGAGTATTACTTACGATTTTGGAGTTTGAATGAGGTGATTCTTGAACAAACCCAACTTCTAGAGAGAGAGAGTGTAGAGAGAGAAAGCTTTAGGAGTGGGGAAAGCCTCAAATGGAGGCCACTCAACCCTTATATAGGGTCTGAGTTGGTGGCCAGGTGGGGATCCACCCCATATCGACGTTAAACAGAGTTTAAAATTTTACCCGATTAAATGGTCGTAACTAAAACTTTTTCCAAATAAATTAGAGGGTATTTCACATGTTTTTATTTATTTCATTACGACACTAATAAAACATGATGAGTTCAAAACTCTTAGATCGATTAGATCTTTCAAAAGTACGATAAGAGAATTATAACAGAAAAGAACAAATTATGAACGAACACAGATCAGAATCAAATAAGAGCTTATGATTCAAAACTTAGTCACGCCTCAGTAGAGCTTGATGAAGAACTTCCGCGGTAGAGGCGAGCTAGGGTTTACAAGCAATGAAAATGAAAACAATTAAAGCGATACTTTCTAAGTCTGCATGTATGCAGCTTATATACTTAAACCCTAATACAAAATTATGCACGGCTAGACAGGCCCAATACCGGCAACTAAACTAGGTTATAGACCGAGCCCATGACGTAATCCACCAGACTCAACAATCTCCCCCTTTGCGTCAAATGGGGCGAGAGATTATTTCTTCTGAGCAGGCCTCACCATCTTGATAACTTTAAACAATTTAGGGATAATGGCGAGAAGAGTCTGTCGGAATAGAATGTACCACCTCAGCATGTCGACAAACAGCTTTTTATCTGCTGCACTGTTCTGGTCGCACCTTTGTATGATCTCCAATATATGCTCGAGACAAGACGTCGAGAAGAGGTGTTTGTCAACAAGAGCGAAAATACATTTCTGTCCTTCGCCCCTGAGAAACATGACTGTGTGATACTTGGAATCTATCTTCCCCTTGATCATGGAATTAACATTGCCCGCTCTGCCCATCGGTTTGATTGTTGGTCGCTTGTGTATAGCAGATGCAATTTCCTGGTCCATTTTTGCTACCTCGTGTATGTAGCAGACAAGCATACGCTTGACTTGATTAATGATTGGTTGATACTCCTGAGGATTTGGCAGAAGAATGTTGTTGAGGAGTATCCAATCATGGGGGTTGAGGTTCGGTAGATCAGCCAGGGAAAAGTGGTGAACGGAGCCTTCGGTTCCTCTCGTCACCCTAAATTTGACATTGATGAATTTCCCTGCTGAATAGGGTTTCAACACTTTGACAGTGGTTATCTTCTTTGAACTCCATGTCTGGTATTGAGGTTGAGCAAACTCCAGATAAAAATCTAATAGATCCCTATCTACCTTCGGGTCCGGAGATGGAATTGCAGCAATTGAGTTGAAACAATGGAAGACGAATGCCTTTTTGGTGATTGGCATGTCGAACTGCGCATCCCTGGAGTTGTCAGGGCTGAAAGACATTGTTGGCTCGAGCCATAGAACAACTGGCTCATCAATCGCACACCTCTGGAGCGAGTTTTTGGTCCAATCAGGGAACATGGCATTTTTCTTTTCAAGGAGCTCCACCTCCTTTCGCTTCTTTTCTAGCTCAGCTCGCTGCTTCATTGAAATTTCTTCAGTTTGTTTTTGTGAAGGAGCTTCCTTTGGGACAAGCTTTGTTGGGACTTCAAAGTAGACATCGTCTTCGTTGTCGGTATCATCTTCACCGATTTTCTTCTTTTTCTTCTCCTTGTTACTGACCGAAGCTTCATTAACCTTCGGTTCAGCAGCTGGCTTGGAGCTAGATGGACGAGGTTGATTCATCTCTTGTTTCTCTTGCTTGAACGCTTTCTCTCCCCCTTGTTGCGGTTGGACCCCAGCCACCGGAACACCCTCGATACGACTAAGGACGTCTAGGTCCGGTCGGAGTTTGTCTGCTAGATGCCGTCGGGTGGTGGTAGTAACAAGGGTATCATGACCATCAATGAGATGAAGAAGAATGGAGTGAATGTCTGCAGCTGAAGTCCTTATAATTTCTCTCTCTGATTTGAGATCATCAATTTCAGCATGAGCAGATCGCAGCTTATGTGTTTGCAGTTTAAGCTGATTAGTGCGTCTGGAAAGCTCATCCATAAGCCCATTCTCCATCGCTAAGTCCTTTTGTAGTTGAGATAAGTGTTCGTTAACATTAGCATGGAACGCTTCATTCGCCTGCTGAATAGCATTGCGTGCTACATCAACCTTCGAGCATTCAGACTGAAGAGTCTGTTGAAGAGTTTCTACAGAAGAAGTAACTGTAGCAGCATTCTTGGCAGCAGCAGCCTGCAAAGAGTCTAAAAATATGTGAGCCTGAGAAACTAGTTTATCGACTTTTGCAGTCGCTTCCTTGCATTCTTTTGTTGATACATCAACAGCTTGAGAAGCCTGTTGACACTGAGAAGTGGAGGCTTCAATAGCCTTGGCTGCAGCAGTTAAGGAGGCTGAATGTTCAGCAACCACTGAGGAGAATAGAGCTTTTAAGGCCGCATCTGAGTAAGCGCCTGAGGAAGAGGAGGAAAGCAGTTGATCCAGCTTGTCGTTGACCACTTTTAGATGACATTTGGTAATCGGCTCGTCGTCGTCATCCTCACTTTGTACTCTATAAGGACTGAAGTATGTAGAGTCAAACTCCAAGTCCTCACCACCCAAAATTGGGGTTGTTTCTGTAGAAGGTGTTGGAGATAGGGTTTTTGATGAAGGTGGAGGTTCAGTTGTTACTGGGGTTCGGTTTTTTTAGGAGGTTCGGTTGTTTGAGCAGGTTCGGTTACAGGTGGTTTGGGAATAGTGAAAGTAGGTTTTGTAGTGGTGGTAGAGGTTGTGTCTGTGAAGATGGGAGTAGGGATTGGTATGGAAGTGAAGGGTTGAAAAGTGGTTGTTTGAGAGATAGGAGGGATAGAAGCACGAATGGTAGCATGTGGAGGTGAAGGAGGCAATGAACGAACTGGAATGTCTTGAGATAGGGAGCGAAGTGGAGTATCTCCTCGGCCCGAAGCCTCTTCATCTGAACTTTCATTCTTAGAATCTGTAGTTAGGGCGTGCTTGTGCTTAGGAGGAACATATTCTGAATCCAAATCGCTTGAGGATTGCAGAATAAGTCTCCTAGCAGGCTTCTTCTGGTTTTTGGGTTGTGGTTGAGAAGGAGCTGGTTGATCAGTTTTCCTCTTCTTGGGGGTCTGCCCCTTAGATGGTTTTGCTACAGGTCCCTCCTTTTGCGATTCAGGTTTCTTGCCCCTTTTGGCTGGTTTATCAGCTTCTTCAATAGAATGAAGCATTGAAGGAGTAAGCTCACGCGGACCAACAGCCTTGCGTTTTCTGTACTGCTGAAGAAGATTGCTTGATGCTGAGATACAACCAAGCATTGTTTCAGGAATGGAGCCGATGTACGAAAACTTTGTGGGGTCAGTGATGATGATCTTCGTCGTATGAAAGGTGGCGATTGAAGAAATTAAGGAATCCGCCATTATTGGGACGCGATTGCGATCCATCGCCCACTTGGTGATAATGGTCCAGAACTGCCCACAAGAAATTTCTGAGTGCTTTGATGAAGAAAGTAAACTTTGAACTAGCTGCTGCCAAATGATAGTCCCATAGTCAAGATTGAGCCAGTTGTACAACCCATACATCACCGTCATGAAGGCCTTGCTGACAGCGTCAAATCCAGCACTTCTCTCAGATAAACCCTTGAACAAGAGTGTAAATAGGACATTCCATTGAGGAGGAAGGCAAGACTTCTTGAACTTTGTTACGGTTGTTAGGGTTTCAGTATACCGCATTTGATAAAACATGGTGAACAGTTGGCCAGTGGTAATGGAGTCAGGGTTTACCAGAGACGAGTCTTGTGAGAGACCAATTAGGGCACATAATCGGCTCTTGGAGATGGAGACCTTCTCATCGTGAAGCTCGAAGTGAATACGCTCATTGGCTTTGTCGTAGAACGTCGTGGAGTAGACGTGAGATAGGAACGACATTGGCACAATTTCAACCTTTGTCAGTACATCTACAAGTGGTGAGTATTTGAGACATTCAACCACATAGAGCATATACGGCTCATAGACGAAGGGAGTGAGATCGATGATTAGGTTTTGTTGGGGTTTTATTGTGAGGAGGGGTTGACGAACGGAGATATCATGAACAGATGAAGATTCTGCCATTGTTGGAGCTAGATAATGATGATGAACAGTGCAGAGAATAGCCGGGTTTCTTTGAGAGCTTTTTGGAAGTGATAAAGTTTGAGAGAGTACCGTTCCAATTCCATTTATACGTACAGGGATGTGAGAGAAGAATCCGGCTGTAATCCTGGAGTTTCTCTAAAAATGCGCCTGACTTGATGTGGGAACAGTTGGTATGCCAAAGGTGACGCAAGAGAGAGAAAAATGTTTCCCCTTTTTCACGCCTTTTGATAAAACTCGCCTTTTTCAAATCGCCAAACCATTTGAATTTCTGCTGAGTCAGCTACCTTTTCAACCCAATCTTTTCACCGGATAACGCTTGAGTATCTGTTCCTTGATAATCTGTGTAAAACTTAGAATTTTTGAAAATTAAAAATTTTTGTGCAAAGGGTGTAGAAGATAAAGAAATAAAACTAGTATTTTGTGATGGATTGTGATGTCGTAGATAGACATAAAGCAATTGATTCTGGGCAAAAATCACTTCCGTCAAAGTCAAGAGAGACATTGAAGTGCTTGCTTGGTTTCCCATGAAATAACGATCAATAACTTGTTCAGAAGTTTTGAAAGGCATCTTTTTAAAGGGTAAAGTGGGTGGCTTTCGCTTCAATTCATAATTTCGATACTTAACATAAGATCAAAATAGAACGAAGTACTTGTGAGATCATTGTCATATGTTGAACAAGTAGGTGGGAAATAATTTAAAGTGACAAGGGAGTGTAAGAAATCTCAAAAAAAAAAAAAAAAAAAAAAAAAAAAAAAAAAAAAAAAACTGAATCTTTTAGGGTTAGAGACACCTTGGTGAAAGGCAATCTCATAAATATTACTGAAAAAGAAAAAGAGATTTCATTGGGTAACAAGTAATATCTTGAATTATTGAATTCACCGTCAATTCGTTAATGGTATTGAATTATGGGTTTCACTTAGCACATAGTGGCATGATGTGACATCCCCTAATTTCTCGGCCAGAAAAGACCGATTTAATTTATGCTTTTTAAAATAAAATCAGAGAAATCTTTTTAAAAGATGTTGCGGAATTGGTCCCCAAACAAAATATGATAAAAGTTTATCAAAACCTTCTTTAAGAAATGTATAGTTTCATTTCATATCAAAACCTCGGGATGTCATGTTCCGATAAAGATCAAAAGCATAAACAAGACATTATAAGCCTTTCAATAGTTATTTACAACTACTGGCCTATAATCCAAAAATCTCTCATCGTCCTCCAATTATGCTCGGGGTCCACTACCTGTAATCATAAAACTGAGTGGGTCAGGCTTGGGAGCCTGGTGAGCATATAAGGTTTTCAACCCACAATAATAATATACTTATTAAGTTCACCAATCAACAATAACCCTGATTACCCATTCCCGTTGTCCTCACTTTACGTCCCTAAACACCTATCACTAGGGACCTAGCCTAAGGAATATCATCGGGATGGACACTACTGCTAAGGGGTTTCCTCAGCCATACATGTCCTTAAGGCAACCATGAGGGGGATGAAGTATGCCAATGAACATTTAATTCATCAACACCTACAAGTTGCGAACTTGCTAGTGTTCCACTGGACTATCTAGAAATATGGGTTTAGGGGTTAAAAGTGACAAAATTCCAAAAGTAACCGGGAACCCTCGCAGGTACCCTTCTATTTATAGGGTCCGGAGTTCTGATCCAATGGCTGAGAAGTCTCCTGATCCGACGGCTAACTTCTTCGTTATAACTCGGATTTTGGTATTCTTTATATCCCCGAAATCCTTGTTTCAGCCACTACAACTTTATGTAAAGATATCGGGTTTATCTCACACTTTAATTTTGACGCTTATTTTTATTCTTAATTAATTAAGCCCTAATAATTAAGCATAAAACACATAATTCACATAATATTCACATAATTCCTTTTCATTTCTTCAAAATGAGTTACAAAGGTTAACCTAGACTATCAACTCAATATAAATGCCTAGGCTAGAAACACGAGTGTTACAATTCTCTCCCCCTTAGGATGATTCCATCCCCGGAATCACATATCACCAAACAACTGCGGGTAGCAGCTCATCATGTCACTCTCAAGTGAGATTTGGTCCATTCGTATGTTTCCAATACACAAGCACTAAATCGACCATCTTGTGTTGCAACTTCATAGTCTTACGGTCAACGATTGCCTCAGGTTCTTCGATTAACCTCTTGTTTTCATCCAGCCTTAACTCAGAAATCGGAATTATGTCGGGCACATCTCCCGTGAACTTTCTCAAGTATCACACATGAAAGGTGTTATGAATACCTTCCAGTTCTTCCGGTAACTCTAGCTTGTAAGCTTGATTCCCGATCTTCTGAAGAACTTTGAATGGTCCAATAAACCTTGGACTCAACTTTCCTCGTTTCCCGAATCTTATAAGTCCCTTCCACGGCGAGACTTTAAGTAAAACCGAATCTCCAACATCGAAGGATATCGGTTGTCTTTTCTTGTCAGCATAACTCTTTTGTCGATCTTGAGCAGCTAACATCCTTTCCCTTATCACTTTCAACTTTTCGGTAGTCTGATGGACTATTTCAAGTCCCATAAACTGCTTTTCCCCAGCTTCCAGCCAACATGATGGCGTTCGACACTTTTCCCCATACAAAGCGTGATAAGGTGCCATCTTAATCCTTGAGTGGAAACTATTATTATAGGAGAATTCTACTAAAGGTAAGTGTTCATCCCAGTTACCTTGGAATTCTAGGGTACATGCTCTCAGCATATCCTCCAATGTTTGAATCGTTCGCTCGCTCTGACCATCGGTTTGCGGATGGTAATCTGTACTCAAACACAACTTGGTACCCAATTCCTCTTGTAGACTCCTCCAAAACCTTGATGTAAAACGGCTGTCACGATCGGACACAATCGTTAACGGAACACCGTGAAGCCTCACAATTTCCTTCACGTAAGAATTCGCAAGTTTATCCATAAACCATTTCTCTTTGGCCGCTATGAAATGCGCACTCTTAGTGAAGTGATCAACGACCACCCAAATCATGTCGTGACCATTCCTTGTTCTGGGTAGTTTAGTCACAAAATCCATGGTGATGTCTTCCCATTTACCCATGGGTATGGGTAAAGGTTCTAAACTCCCATACGGTTTTCGATGTTGTGCCTTAACCCTAGCACAAGTTACACACTCGGCCACATACTTAGCAACATCGAGCTTCATCGTCGGCCACCAATAATAGGGTTTTAGATCCCTATACATTTTCGTACTGTCGGGATGAATTGAGTACATGGTCTTGTGAGCTTCTTCCATCAGAGGATCTCTTATTCCACCCGTCTTAGGTACCCAAATTCTATCTTGAAATACCTTCAACCCTTGGTTGTTTGTACCGAACACTAACGTTTTGCCCAAACGTTCTTCCTTTCGGTTATTTTTCTCTAAAGCCTCCTCTTGAGCTTTCTTTATACTTTCCATAATTGTCGAGACAACTTCAATTCTTAACGCTCTTGGCCTTTTCTTTTCAAGGTTTACCTTCCGACTGAGAGCATCGGCAACAACATTTGCTTTACCAGGGTGGTAAAGTATCTCACAGTCGTAGTCCTTGAGTAACTCTAGCCAGCGTCGTTGCCTCATGTTCAATTCCTTCTGATTAAAGAGATATTGGAGACTCTTATGATCAGTGAAAAGTTTACACTTGGTGCCATAAAGATAATGCCTCCATATCTTCAAGGCAAATACTACCGCTGCCAACTCCAGATCATGAGTGGGGTAGTTCTTTTCATGCTCCTTCAATTGTCTCGATGCATACACGATCACTTTATCCCTTTGGGTCAGAACACAACCTAACCCAACTCCAGATGCATCGCTATAAACTGCAAAGTCATCAACTCCTTCAGGCAATGAAAGAATCGGTGCTTCACACAATCTCTTCTTCAACTTCTCAAAGGCTTCCTTATGCTTCTCATTCCAAGCATAAGTAGCTCCTTTGTGGGTCAAAGTTGTTAATGGAGTAGCAATCGAAGAAAAGCCTTGGATAAACCTTCGGTAATATCCAGCTAATCCTAAAAAGCTTCAAATATCCGTAGGACTTTTTGGTTGTTCCCACTTCATCACAGCTTCAATCTTTGTTGGGTCGACCATTATCCCTTCTTGGTTAACCACATGACCTAAAAATTGGACTTCTTGAATCCAAAATTCACACTTGGAGAACTTTGCATACAGCTTCTTCTTTTTCTGGACTTCCAGCACTTCACGCAGATGCTTTTCATGCTCCTGCTTGCTTTTCGAATAAATCAAGATATCTTCTATGAACACTATCACGGATTTATCTAGGAATGGTTTACAAACCCTATTCATCAAATCCATGAAAGCTGCTGGGGCATTGGTTAGTCCGAACGACATAACCAAAAATTCATAGTGTCCATATCTCGTTCTAAAAGCAGTCTTTTCGATATCCTGCTCTCTCACCTTTAGTTGATGGTAGCCCGACCTAAGATCGATCTTCGAGAAATCGCTCGAACCCTGCAACTGGTCGAACAAGTCATCGATCTTTGGCAACGGGTACTTGTTCTTTATCGTCACTTTGTTCAGCTCTCTGTAATCGATGCACATTCTCATGCTTCCGTCTTTCTTCTTTACAAATAACACAGGGGCTCCCCAGGGTGATGAACTAGGTCGAATGAAACCTTTGTCCAATAACTCCTGAAGTTATGTCATAAGTTCTTTCATTTCGGTTGGCGCTAATTGATAAGGTGCTTTCGCTATCGGCGTCGTTCCTGGTAACAAGTCGATACGAAATTCTACTTATCGATCAGGGGGCAATCCGGGAAGATCTTCGGGAAAGACTTCCGGATACTCACACACCACCGGAATATTTTGTACCTCCTTCTTTTCCATCTTAGCATCGATCACAAACGCTAAATATGATGTACATCCCTTGGCCAAACACTTTCTGGCTTTTATTAGGGAAATGATTCCAGAATTTACTCTGTGTTTGTCTCCGTACACCATAAACGACTCTTT